GAGCGGCGAGCGGAGCAGAGAAGGCGCAGCGCGGGGTGGGACGGCTCTGCGAAAAGGCGCCGTGTCTTACCGGTCGGCTTGAAGAAGGGGTTTCCCTGGGCGTTATAACTGCGTGCTGAACTGCTGCAATCGCTTCTTTGCAAGATGTGGGGGAGGGGCGCGGAAGAAGCCATTGCAATGCGGTCGTTGCCGCGGATATGCAACCGTGCGAACGCGTCAGGTCCCGGGGGCTGTCCGGTCCGAGCCTCTCCGCAGGGTCCACGCGGACGAAGATGGTTCAGCTTGCAAAGAATGCAGGCCTCTTCGTACCGTGGCTACGCATCACGAAGGGCTTAGGTTTTGCGTTTGGATTGTGGTGCGTCTCTTTCCAGATGACCGTCGCACCGTTTGCCCTAGTGGGGCCCCTCCGGAGATTTTGGGCTGCAGCTGACATTATCCCCAGGCAGCATGGGCTTGGATGCACGCCGGTACACACCTGGAGGGCATCCAGTTAGGGAATGCTGCTTTTTTAAGTGTGGGAAGCTGGTCATTTTGCATAATCCTCTCTTCCCTGTTTGGCAGCAAAAGTTTAGATCAGGGACAAGAAAGGGCAGACCTCCAGATGTTGCTGAAGTACAAGTCTCTGGGCGTTATAACTGCGTGCTGAACTGCTACAATCGCTTCTTTGCAAGATGTGGGGGAGGGGCGCGGAAGGATATGCAGGATAGGCAATGGTGAAGGATGCTAGGACCTGTTCATCAGCATCTGGAGGGTTACAGCTTCCCCGCCATGGTTTTAAGCAGAATTTTTTCCTAAGTATCTATTTGCAGTCATCACACCAGTTGCATAAATGCTGTTGTTGATCTACTCTACATTAACTTGAAATTCTGAGCTGAAGTGTAACATTTATAAGCAATTTAAGAAGGGTGAGAGAACATGGGATACACATGTTAGTTTAAATAAGTGGTTTTTCAAACGTGGCAACTTTAAGATGTGGGATTTCAACTCCCAGAATTCTGGCTGGGGAAGTCCACACGTCTTAAAGTTGCCGAGGTTGAAAAAAACACTTATTTAAGTTAATTGAGATGGCCAGTGAAGTCAATTGTCACAACTTAATTCTCAGAATTTTTTAAAAAAAACCCAAGCAGAGGATGCTTCTTGTTTGTTTCTTTTTTTTAAATTGTCACAATGCACAAACATAAAAGAGCTTGTGTGTTGCTGTCATTGGGAGCAGGTCCTTGTTATAACTAGTCTTGCTTTGCTGTAGGTGCTTGGTAGGATTCAATAAGGTTTATGCAAGACTTGCAGCTAAGGAGTGCCATCCATGTTTCCTGAGTAATCAGCTGGGATAGACCATGGGTCACTGAGGTGGTACGTAGGATGTAAGACTAGAGCTCTGGTGAGTGGAATTGTCACCAAAATGATAGCAGATGCCTTGAGCCTCTGTAACCCTTCAGAGAATAGGATAAAGATGCTGGCCCCACTCATGTCAGTTGCTCAAGGTAGGCCTGATCAAGAAACAGGCATAGCAGGAATTACAGGAATGCTCTATTGCCATGTATCTCAACATCAGCAACTCTATGATGTGTGGACTTAAAGTCTCAGAATTCCCCAGCCAACATGCTAGCTGGGGAATTCTGGGAGTTGAAGTCCATCTTAAAGTTGCCAAGGTCACTGCTCTATTGTAGTAAGGTAGAGTAACAGAATCTCTGTCTGGTACTAAACAAAATCAAGGTAGGGCTATTTTGAGCTTCTTTGTTATGCTTTCCTCTTTGGGGACTGTAAACCTTTCTACAAGTCCCCCCTTAATGGCTCCCTCATTCCTTCCCTATTCTCAAAGGTAGTGCTACATTACTTCACAGCTCACTCTGATGATATAATGATGCCGCTGACTATACCCCTGAATCCTTTGGGGGTCCATTTTAAAAAAAAAGTCCATCTGTCTTGCAATCAGTAGCCTCTGAAGTATAAAATATGTCTGCTAGTACTTTGTTTACAGTCATTAATTGTTTGATTCGTATATTTTGGCAGTTCCTGGAGCCACCACAGTCCTCGTAGAGCTCACTCCAGACATCCACATTTGTGGTCTGTGCAAACAACAGTTCAACAATCTTGATGCCTTTGTTGGTCACAAAAGGAGTGGTTGCCAGTTGTCTGGCACAACAGCTGGAGCTACCAGTACAGTGCAGTTTGTGGCTGAAGAAACGGTGCCAGCCACACAACCCCAAACTGTGGCAAGAACCATCACATCAGAAACACAAACCATCACAGGTATTTTACCTAGAAAGTTTGGAAAGTGGTGTCTAAGAAGCAGGTAGTTTCACATTGTTGAGCACAAAGGACCATACTGGAGCTTAATAGTTGGGCATGCAGGTTTTGTTCCTGGCATCTTCCATGAAAATGTGGGATGTCTGCCCAAGACCTTAGGGAGTAGCAGAATTGACCAAGCTGTATAGGTGTGTGGCTCAGTATGATATCTGTAGGTTCAGTTCTTGGGGAAAGGAGGAGAGGGTTCGAAAAAGTCTCAGGTTTAGTCTCTGGAAAAAAATTATTAAATGATCTCCATGTTGGAAAAGAGGCCCCATACAGCAGTTTGAGACAGAAGGGATACTTTTGGGCTAGGAAGAGAAGTAGAAGTAGTTAGACCAGGTACAGGTAGTCGTCACTTAACGGTGCTGAACAAGGGATACTTAAGACAGGTCCTCATAGTGTCACCATCGCAGTGTCCCCACAGTCACATGATCATGATTTGAGTGCTTGGTGACCAGCTCACAATTAAGATGACGCAGCGTCCCACGGTCATGTAACCACCATTTGTGACCTTCACTGCTGGCTTCCAACAACAAAGTCAATGGGGAAGCCAGCAGGAGGTCACAAATGACAATCATGTGACCGCGAGATGCTGCAACTACATAGGATTCACTAACAATAGCAACTGGGACTGTCAGAACTTCTGTCACAAGTCAGTGTGGTCTCATGATGCCGCACTTTACAACTATGTCACTTAGCGACGACATTCCCAGTCCCAATTACCATTGGTAAGTGAGGACTACCTGTAAGTTTCCATGTCCTCCTTTTTGCCCAGTCTGTGTCAGGGATAGGCAGCCAAGTGATCAAGGATGAAAGTAATATCTCAGCCTCCTGATTTCTTCCTTTCCATTTGCCTTGCATAGATCTGGTTGGCTGATAAGATCTAGGAATGTAGGCTGTGCGTGTAAAAATGTCTAGTCAGTAGAAAGCCAGCAAAGGTTGCGCTGGGTGCATGAAAGGTTTTTCTGCCACCGATCCATATAGCAATAGTAGCAATATGAGGAAGGGGTTTACAACACTGGGATCCTAAAATGTAGTTTTTTATGTTTATCAGTGTCTGCACCTGAGTTTGTTTTTGAGCATGGGTACCAAACCTACTTGTCTGGTGAGAACAATGAGCCTCGGACAGCTACTCTTGTTACTACTCCACCAAAATCACGCAGCAAAAAGGCCAGCACATCAGTGGCACAGAAGAAATTTAATTGCAGCTACCCAGGTAAAGGATAAGCTAGTGGGTAAACCAGAAATCTACTTTTCAAGGGAGGGGTATGGCAGGGGGCACCCTCGGCATTTTAAAAGCATGTTGTGAGTGCAGTAGCCACCATGGAGGGTGGGGGGCTTACTTCTTCATAAAATGGCATTTCAAGTCACACAACAGGTCCCAGACAAGAGCTGGGTAGTAAGGGGCTTAGACAGTACTGGGGTGTCCAAAATGTTTTGTTTCGAAATGTTACAAGTGCAAAAATTTGCAGAATGTCCCAATCTGAGAGTGAAATGGGCTTTTTTATCATTCTGGATCCATTTCAAGGAACACCCCTGGTTTTAGCGTTGAAAGTTTCCAAAATATTTAAAACAACACATTTCTTGAAACAACAGTTTCTTATTCAAAAATGTTCATGGCATGTTGTGCTTGGAACAGTTGGAAAATGCACACTCCCAATGCTCACGTTTACCTAGATCCCATGTGGCAAAAAGTCTTGCTTCAGTGACTTGGAACCTTTGATCATAGAATTAGTAGGAGTCAAAAGACATTCAACCACTACTTAATTCTGTCTTTTGCTGATGGACAAAATCCACCAATAGGCATCTTTAATACATGACCACCCTGTGGGGTTCTGAAATGTTACTACAAAAACCCTGAGGAGGAGAGAGGATTCATTCCTACCTCATGGAGAGCCATGAGGAGAAGAGAAGGAAGATGAGGGAAACAAGAAAAAAGGTGGGCTTCAAGCCCCTCCCACACAAAGCAGCAAAGCTAGGCTGTAGCGAAGCCACCCTTCCCTTTGTGCTCATGTGAGACAGGCTTGGTTGAAACCCCATATTTTCAACACCCCCAACCTTTGCTTAAAATCTTCTAATGAAGAATAGGCCACTACCTTCCAGGATATTTTCTTTCATGAATTGATACAGACAAATTCTCCTGAGGTTTCTTGTTCTGTTGCTTCTGACAAAGGTTCGGGCTACATTAGCTCATGGAGAGGATGGACTGGCTGAAGTTGGAGGGCATTTCCAAAAGGAAATCCTCTGGGCAGGAAATCCTCTGGAAGAGAAAATGAAAGCAAGATGCAGGTCTAAGGAAGGATACACTCTGTGTATACATTCAAGCTATACACAAAACCATTCACTTATAAAGATCTCAACTCTGTCTTACATGGAATCAAAGACCAACGTTCCAGATAGCTCAATACTATGTACTCTGTCTAGCAGCAGCATCCCCTGGACAGAAGTTACTTAACTAATGATTGGTGCTAACTGGGATTAATCCTGGGGACTTCCACATGTACCAGATGATTTTTACCATGGAGCTATCTCCCTGCACTGGCATTGCCAGCTTTCTCAAGCCCAAACTAAACATGGTTCAGTGAATGGTGTAGTTAACATGCACATTCCTCAGCAGTTGGCACCAACTAGCTGACCTGGTCTGATCTTAAAAATGGTAAACAGAGTTGGACCTGATTAATATTTTGCTAGGAGAACACCAGGAAACCTTAGGTTATAGACTAGATTAGGAAGTCAAAAGACGTTCCAGAAGAAGGAAGCAGCGCTTCTATACTGTATCCATCTACGCACCAGGAGAAGATCGTCCCATCTAGTCTGTTCTATTTGGCCATGTTTCCATGGAGAAACTGAGGCTGAGAATTGAAATGTTACACTTTATTGCAACTGTTGACACACTCAATCCATGGCTAGGAAGATTGCAGGATTTTTATGGGACTACATCTGCGTTTGCCTGTGAGTCCGTGAGCTACTTTTCTGCATGAAAACACAAGCATGCCTGACCTTCAAAAACTGCATAGTTGTATTATATGCAAATCAGTAAATTTAAGTGCTAGGAGAAGCTCTTTCTTCTTATTCGGGCTTTTTTCTCTATTTCCTTAGAAGCCTTACGGGACCTCAAGGGACTTGGCAGGTTGTGAATTGTTCTTTGCATTGTATTTACTTTTTGCCCATTGATCTGCTCCCTGAGATGGAATGAGGAAATAAATTGGCATTGCTTGTATTAATTTTATTCAGTGACACTGCCACAAAGTTCCAAGAAGATTCATGGAAGCAGTTTTTAAAATTAATTTAGGTTACCATTGATCATGCAGCCTAAGGAAGGAAAAAAATAGCCTTCCATGTGTGATTAAGTCAATTAACTTCATTAGAACATACAGTCAAACCTGTCTTTGCTTGAGAATTTGCCTGAAATTTATGCTATCTCTCTCCCCCTCCACACATCCACTTACATTCTCAAGCAGCATTTACATTTCAAGCAGACCACCTGAGGACTGTAGAGGAAAGAACTCAGTAAGCTAATCCATTGGGGTTCAAACCCTTGTTCAGTGGCAATGCTTGGTGCATGGATTTAAATGAATTAATCTCTTTCAGCCTTCTCTACTTATCCTGGAGAAACATATCCTTCTCCCCCATGTTCAGTGTCATGGCCCCTGGCTTGCAAAACCATGGAATGGTGGACAATGGTGGACCAAACCAGAAACAGAAAAACAGGTTTCTCTATCCATAGCTCTGTTCTGTGAAGGAGTGCTGGGTAAGGTTTGTCAAGGAAGTTTTCAAAACAGGCAAATCAGACTCAAAAAAACATGCTCAGGTTGCTAGAACCATTTCCTTTTTTTAAGAACTGAGGACAAGTTTTTCTACAATGGTAAAAGACATCCTACAGGGAGTTGCTCATTCCCTTCACTCTGGTAAGAAGACAAAAGATACAGGAAGCTGCTGAAAGTTCTGTTCTAGTTTTCTTTTCTTTTAAACTATTTCTGCCATGGCTGGAGAAGTGGTAGACATTAACATTTGTGCTCTATGTTGGTACGTCAGAAAGTTTATTGGATGTTTGGGACTATCACTGGGAGAGCTCACTTGCCAAATTTCTAAAAGAATCCAGAGGCACAACTGCCTAGGGAGGCAGATCTTGCTTGTGGTGATAAGGAGTATATTGATTCAAAAAGCTGTTGCAGTTTATTCCACAGGGAACTTAGGCAGGTGGTGAATTTTGCCAAAGCTATAGATTTTATGGCTGAAACATAGTTTTCCTTAGCTTCTAGCATTAGCTGAATGCCACTGTGTTTTCCTGTAACAACATAGCCACATATGCACGTATACATCATTGTTAAATCCTCTTATCATGAGGGAGGTTATCAGATTGTTAGCCTGGATGGAAATTCACCTGATGTTTCAGCTGAGCTTGTCTAGGGCATATTCAATTGAATAAAGTTGGGTGGATTTGGACCCCTTTCATTTCGGCAGCCTCCCATTGGGATCTCTTCGTGTCTTTGACTTTCATCAAAGTCTCAGCACCTGTAGGAAGCAGAGAAGATATAGATGCTCGACAGAATGAACTTAAAATCTTCATACTATTCCGTTTGATCTCAGGAGCCTTTACATTTGTTACCCCTCAAGTATTTCTCCTGGAAAGGCAAATTTCTAGCAGTCAGCATGGAAAGTATCAGAACTTTATTTGCCAGGGAAAAAAAGTCTGCAGTCTTCCAAATTCAGAAGCTGTTCATCCAGAGCTGTCATTCATCACTAAGATGAATTTGAAGTTTCACAGAAAGCAACAGATAACTCTGCCTTTCTTTCATCCCAAGAAGGAATGACATCAGTTGGTTTTAAGATTTTAAGATCTGTCTATTGAGACTTAGGTGTTCAGACTCTCCAGCCCCTCTTTGTTTTATTCTAGCAAACAGTTGGGCAGTGACCTCTAGATGGATCAAGGGTGCATCACTCTGATTGATGGTTCTCAGTCTCTTGCTCTTCCAAAGAGAATCAGAATCTGTTCTGTAAGGATCATTTGCTACCAATACCACTGGCAAGGCAGCTACCCAATTGTATATTTTTTCTTCTGTGAATAGCTGCAAGTTAAGGATCCTCATTTCTGCTCAGGTATATTTGTGCAGCTTGTTACTTAGGCTTTCATCAGGACTTCTGCCCCAGTGAGACTGCACAGGTATATCCCACTGTTAAATGCTTTTCTCTGCTGCAAGAAAATAGAACATTGGACTCCCTGTGAAGGTTTCTCTTCTACAGTGAGAGAAGACATCCTCTCTCCCTTAATTCCTCCCCCGCTCCAAGGGAAGGGTGATTTTCTTCATATGTTTTAGGTGATTTTTTCATTTATGGTTTATTGATTCTTTTAACAATTATTATATTTATCAGAAGCCACATTCTGTTTGTTATCCTGGAACTCACTGCATTCTTCCTCCCACCTTTAGGGAGACAGAACAGTTCTGTCTGCCTTATCAGGAGGAGCAAATACTGTCTGAAAATCATGTGAGGTAGTGGTGGTTGGATTAGATTGGGTTGGGAGCAGAGAGACCAGGATTCAAGGCCCCAGCCAGCAATGTGTCTTACCACCTCTTTGCTTAATGTACCCCACAGGTGGTTGTGAAAAGGGGAGATCCATCACTTGCAGGAACTGATAGATAAAATGGGTCCCTAATAATTGATCTTCTATTTCTCTTCTCCCTCCAGGGTGTCAGTTCAAGACATCCTATGGAATGAAAGACATGGAACGGCATTTAAGAACACACACAGGTACATTTCTGGAGTTTTAGAACAAGTCATTTTGTTTTTGAGCCAGTAGATATAGATTTCTTAGGATATGTATCCTTTTCTAGCAAGGCATTTGTAATTTGGGGGTGGCGGGGTAGACAGTGAAAAGTGAGTGTTGCTTTCTGAACTACTGCACATTTTTATAGTCATTTGGTGAAACACAAACTAGTCGACATTAGGGAAAGAAATTAATAAATTTCTCTTGGACCAAACCAAACTATTTGGTGTAAATTACTGTATTAGCTGTTATTTGCAAATGTCCTCTGGAGTTTTGAAGCCTGGATGTGCCTTCTCATTGATTGACTATTTTGACTAGTTGCTAGTTTTCTGATAACTCAGTAGTTATCTTTCTCAGGTCTCAGATAAGAAGTCTTTTGAAATAGGGATTGCAATGTTTGAACCTGGGATCTTTTAAATGCAGAGCATTTGCGCTATTTCCCATCTTAGACTAACATACAAATTACATTTCTTTGAAAAAGCAAATGTCCTCTACAGAGCAATAAGGGCTATGGAACTTTCTCTGACTGGTTTCACTAAGGATGGTTTTCTAAAACATCTGGTTTAGTTCACACAGTTGGTACAACAATGCATGAACCCAGTCAAAGAAATGTGCAATAAATAAATATAATGCAGAGACATGTATTTTCATAGTTCCCTGCACATATCCCTGATTTTCTGAAGGAAAAGTAAACAGCATGAAAAACCCCTTAGGTGATAATTTGCATTTCAACATGGAAAAGATGAATTCCTTCCACTTGGGAACAGGGTGCCTTACATTTCTTCACTCCTTCAGGTGATAAGCCCCATAAATGCGAAGTTTGCGGCAAGAGTTTCAGTCGGAAAGACAAACTGAAAATGCACATGCGCTCCCACAGTGGAGTGAAACCCTACAAGTGTAAGCACTGTGACTACGCGGCTGCCGAGAGCAGCAGTCTGAACAAGCACCAGCGCATCCATTCAGACGAACGCCCTTTCAAATGCCAGATCTGTCCTTACGCAAGCCGCAATTCCAGTCAGCTCACTGTTCATCTCAGATCTCATACTGGTAAGTCCTGAGGGTTTCCGTTTAGGCCTGAATATCCCAGAACAGTGTTCCTCAACCTTGGCCACTTGAAGATGTGTGGACTTCTTCATGGCTGGCTGGGGAACTCTGGGAGTTGAAGTCCACACGTCTTCAGGTGGCCAAGGTTGAGAAACCCTGCCCTAGAATAACATACCTGACCTGCACATTTAAGATTGCAACTCAATTCAACAGAATGACGTTTAGGCTGACTTCAGCTGCACATGAGCTCCTGGTGTGCAAATGCCCACAGCTCACCCTTTCAGGGATTCGCTGAGGGTGGCTTGTGTACATATCATGCTCTGCCACAGTGTGGGCCTTTTCATTTTGTTTTGCTTTAGCAGGTTGTGCAAACAAAAACCCTGTAGGTATCAGTAGACTCTTTAAACACTGTAGTGCAGTGTAGGAACATAAGCTGTAATTTCCCAGCCATTAATGAGTAGAAGCTTAAAGGGGAAAAAAGCTGTAAGATCCTGACCTAGAGAACTTTCAGGTGTGGGACAGACAGCCCCTACCCCACCTCAGTTGTGCAGATGTTGTCATTTCCCCTTCCTCCAGTCAGACCCCTGTGTTCAGGTCAGTGGTTTGAGCTGGAGTCTTAAAAGCAGCCCGCCTTCCTGTTCTGGAGACCTGTCAACCCCAAGGCCAGGTTTCTAGCGGTTACATCCAGCCTTTGCAGTTCTCGCCAGTTCCGATATTACTGTTGCACACTTTCTTTGCCTAAAGGAGTCTCCTGCTATATCTTGATTTTCAGCTTGTAAAATTCTACCCTTTCTCACAACCAAGCTTCTTGCAAGTTTCTCCAAAGCAAAGACATTTTCTTCTTTCCTTTTTGGTCTCTTATTCTGCAGGCTTTAGGCTCAGCTGGCCAGCTTTCTATTACTTTTTTTGACACAGCTTGCAGGTGAAGTTCGTGTTCATTTGGGAGGGTTAAAATCAAAAGTCCTCCTTTGCTCTTTTAAAGAATCTTTACCAAAGCCAGTTGCTTTTAAGTTCATTGAGACAGATCAATCTCTAGACTAAAAACTTAAATGCACTGCCAACAATTAAATGTTGCTGCTTTTTCAGTATAGTTTGGCATCCTAAAATGGAGACCACGTGCACTGCAGCAGCTTTTTTTCATGGAAGGGGGTACGTAACGGTTTCCTAAAGTGCAGGCAGCAACATTCAGGACCAGCCAATACCAGAAACAGAACTGGCAGTCTGTACAATCTTCATTAATATAATGTGTATAATAAACATTTTATAGCAAGGGTCTTAATCTTTAAATACATGCATGGATTAGCACAGCACGCCATGTCATGATTTCAAAAATCTTTAGTTGAAATCAATGAAACATACAGCCGGGTAAACCAATTATGCATCTTTTTACAATCTTCCATTTATGAAGATCTATAAAATATTAACTTGTAAAGTAAATGAAGCCACATGTGTCATCATTATTAAAGAACAGCAACATTCACTGTGTTAGGGAGCTGCCTATATTTCATTTCTGTTTTAAATGGCACCCTTTGAGTTACTCAGCTTGTGGTGTGCGTACAGAGGGAGAGGGGCAGCCAACAAGCATGCTGTTCAAATGGTTGAAAGCAGCAGTAAATCAACAGTATTTTGTGTGTTTTTTGAGGTATTACAATAACCATAGTTTGTTAGAAAAATGGAGATCATAACAGCCACAAGATGTGTTATCAATGTGTTATCAATGTGGTACAAGAGTTATCAATACATTGTTGGACAGAGAGTTCACCTTTCTTTTACACTGGTGTTTTTCTCCATAAACTCTCTGCAGTGTCCTTTACTTTTTTTAATCAATACTTGAGTGCAATTTTTACTAGTAAGATAGCGGTTAAATTAACAAAACCTACATATCAGATCAGCAAATGGATCAGTGAAGCTTGGGTGTTTGGAAAAGCAGCTTTGACCTGAAAGAATTTTTGCATATTTCTAGACGCAGTTACTATAGTACTATTCCCTCTAAATGAGATATGCTTAAAGGACATGCTTCCCAAGCCAGTACTGGGAAACTCCTAAAATTCCTAGCTAGTTATGTGCCCTGCCACCTGGGAATTCTGGGAATTGCAATTTCATCTGAGGTGCTTTGGAGCATGTGGTGACACAAAGGTAGTATCTCTGTTCAACTCCAGCATTTGTGTGTGGTTTGAGGAGTTGCAGACAGGGGCTACATATGCACCCTTGAACCCTCTAAAGCAGTGTTTCTCAACCTCAGCCAATTTAAGATGTGTGGACTTCATCTCCCAGAGTGCTGGCTGGCTGGGGAATTCTGGGAGTTGAAGTCCGCACATCTTAAAGTTGCAGAGGTTGAGAAACACTGCTCTAAAGTACCACCTTCGAATCCAAAGTGCTTACAGCTCTAGTAGACACGTAGAGTTTTCAGGTTACTAGGTTAGTAAGTATCATGAGTTCCATTTGGCTAGAATTAATCTGAGTCACTGTCACACAAATACTGCCATTCCAAACATTTGTCTCCCAAACAGGAGATGCTCCTTTCCAGTGCCGTCTGTGCCCTGCCAAATTTAAAATCAACTCTGACTTGAAGAGGCACATGCGTGTGCACACGGGGGAGAAGCCCTACAAATGTGAGTTCTGCGAGGTCCGGTGTGCCATGAAAGGTAACCTGAAGTCCCACATCCGCATCAAGCACAACATGGAGAATGCCTTCAGGTGCCTCGTATGCAAGTTCCAGTGTGGGAACAAGACGAGTCTCCGGCAGCACCTGCGCACCCACCAGCCGGAGCAGCCAGTGAAATGCTCAGAGTGCAGCTATTCCTGTTCCAACAAGGCTACCCTCAAAGTGCACGAGAGAATCCACTCCAAGGATCGTCCCTTCAAATGTGAGTTCTGCCGCTTTGATACCAAGCAACGGAGCAATCTGACCACCCATGTGAAGAAAGCCCATCCAGATAAAGTCAGAGTCAAAGAAAAAACAGCAGATCAAGGGGAAGGAGATCGGCCAAAGGAAGGCAACTCCAGACAAGTTGCCAAGCTGGAGGCCAAGAAAGCCTTCAGATGCGACCTCTGTGAGGCCTCATTTGTCCGGGAGGATTCTCTGAGGAGCCATAAAAGGCAGCACATTGAATATAATGGAACTAAAACTTCTGAGCTGGCTGTCCTGCAGTTCCAGATGGACCCCACCTCACAAGATGATACTCCTATTACCGTCAGTCATCTCCAGGTGCCGTTGCACACTTCCCCATATGGGGAAGGGCAGGTCAAGATCATTGTTGGGCATCAGTTGCCCCAGACCAGCAGCCTGGAGCAAGGAGGTCAAGTCAATATTGTGTCTCCTACCTTGATAAGTCAGAATCAGGATGATCTGTCTGGCAGTAACCAGCTGCAAATACTGCAGCAGGTGAGCTTGTTGGCTCCGCCCCTTCCTGTTGGGTCTTCAGCAGAAAGCCTTTCAGTCAGCCAACCAACAGTCCTTCTCACGACTCACGATCAGGCTGATGGAAGCACACCAAACCAGACCCTGATCTCCACCATTCCAGTAGGTAGCCATGAGGTCTCAGCTAACCAGGCATTCATCAATGGCACTGGGATCAGCTGCTCAGATTTGGAAGGGCTCAATGCTTTAATTCAAGAAGGGGCAGGAGAAGTGACAGTGGTGAGTGCTGAAGAGCAGAACATCTCAGTACCAGCATCAACGTCCCCTCCACCAATCTTTTCATCCTCCTCTCATTCAGATGTGCCAAAGCAAACCTACTCCATCATCCAGAGTGGAGCCCATGCAAGTTTGCTGTGTCCTGCAGACTCCATACCAGATTAGACTAGGGGCTGAAAAAGTCATTTCTGTGCTCCATTCGGTCCTAGAGTGCATTCTAGAGGGGGCTGTTAAGTGAAGCAGGCAAGGTCAGCCTAGTGTCCTCTAAATGAGCTTAGTTTACATTCATGAGAAGTCTGGGGAAGCTGCTGGCTTTAAGGAAGGATTGTGGTATGAACAGATGCTCTTTGGTGGGGACAGTCCCATTACACAGGGCCCCTTTTTATCGCTTCCAGGTCTAAACCTCTTGTTCGGTCTAATACAGTATCTTTCATGCTTAAATGATGTCTCTTTGGCATGTCTTGTCCAACTTCGTTCTAGGCTTAAAGAAATATCCAGTGAGTCCCATTGCATGGAAAATGCTGTCAATCTTCAAAACTAGTTGTAGCCTTAATGGGTAGCATTGAAAATTGTGCATTGGCTCTTGGGCTCCCCATCCTTTTTCTTTTTTTTTGCTTCCATATCTCAGACTTTAGAATTGTGTTGAATGTATAAATAATATATTTTTAATGTTTATAAGAATGGTCTTGCATTGTAATCCACTGCTGAATAGTTTTGCACTGTGATCAGTGACTTTAGGAGGGCTGAATAACAGTAGCTGGATATAATGTGGCAATGTAATTCCCAAAAGTGGCTTCGCTCTTCTGTCTTCAAAAGCAGTTTGATATGTAGCGGTCAAGTCTGGCATGGAGGAAAATGGGGAGAAACATATCAGTTGCTGTTGTTGAAGATATTGAGTAGACAAGTTAAATTAGGTGGCAATATTGAGGCTCAGGGCAGAAGTAGTTAACTAGTTTTTGAATATCTGATTTCTGTATCAAGACCAAGAGGACCAGCTTTTGAACCTCACAATACATACTGCAGATGGTTCACCATACATCTGAACCATCTGCAGCAGACCAGCTGTGGCGCCTCAGATTAGTGTAGGCAAGTTCCACATGTATCAGGGATCCTGATTTTTTTTTCAGATACAGCACCTATAGGACACAGTCGAGCGTCACCCTAAATCAGGCCTATGGCTTAGTGTGGAATCCACCTGCTATGTTTCTCCTACACCAGTTGGTCTATGGGGAAATACGTAGGTGTTACTCTTTACTTTAGAGAAGCAAGAGTACAACGCTGATGTGATTTTATCAAGGGATGGAGGGTGGGAGCATAATTGTTTTCATTTGATGAGGAGTTTGATATTTTGGGTTTTTGGAAAGATAGATACGGTGTTGAAGGTTTAAGTCTCCCTTTACTGCTTATGTTCGCAAGAGTCTGTCACCATAATTTGATGGTTTGCTGCAGCATTTCATGGCACAGTCTTGGGGCTTTAGGATTTGGACCAAAAGGAGGATTAGGACCAAGCCCTCATTAAACTCACTTTTTTTATATGGACCACTCATGGTATTCCTTATGTATCCAGAGAATGTAACCACAATTTTCAGTAGGTTGTTTTTGTTTTTATGTCTCTTCTCTGAGAGACAAGGATGAATGTTGCAAGCATCTTAGGCTGAATAATACATTACGTCCCACTCTAACACATAAAAAGTGAGACACTATCACTACTTAATGGGAGTAGAAAACTACTTTGAAGTCCAGGTTTTGCTTGAAGGTTGCCTTAATTTCTGCAACATGTGATAAAACAGCTCAAATATTGTAACAATAATGATTAGATAGGACTGCACAACATGTGATCCATTGAGTCCAACACAATCATTTATATAGTATAGCCTACTGGGAGCATACCCAAAGTTGCAGGCAGATACATGGTTTGTTTAGCATTTCTCACTGTGTTGGACAATGTTCAGTCATTATATTAGAACACCTTGATAAAGTGATCTTCCAGATTATGTGCAGCCCATGGGGAAAAATGTACCCTATTTCTGGCCCATTGTGTGTGGCGTGTGTGTGAAAGCCTATAATGAATTATTTTTTGTCACCTGTAGATGGTGCTAGAACTCAAGCTGAGGTTTGAAGGGAAGGACACATTTAAAGAATAGGTACTATATGTATGGGTATTTCCTGTAACAAACAGAGTGAACTGTTCTGTTTCAGTACATGTACATGAATACTAGCTTAGAAAAGAAAATGCTTCCTAAGGTATATTCCACCAAAAGGGTACCAAGTTTTCCACAGTAAACAATGATAACAAAGAAGTGGTTAAAATTTAAGTTTGTTTCTGTTATTTTGGAAGTGGTATAGATTGAAGGTCTGATGGTGCATGTGCACAAGCAAATATTTATATATGTATATAGGTATGTTTGTATAAAAACATATGGCTGATTTTTCAGTGAAAAGTCAACATAGTCATCATTCTGGTGTCAGGTAAGAGTATTGATTCATCTAAGGCAAGAGATGAATAGTCTCTTGGAAGGCTATAGATGAGGTCCCAAGAGACTTCTGAATTTTACTATCAGATTACCATTTTTAATATGATAGAAGTAAGGAAATACTCAATATGTGATAGGAGGGTAATACTGTTAATGTGTGTATTTAAATGTAAGTTAAATGAATTAATGGGTTTTTTTCTGGCTTTGCTCACTATCTTTTGTTTGTGGTCCTCAGAAGAACATTCAAAGGTCAAACACCATTCTTGGCCCAGAAGGAGGTTTCCAGCACTAGCTTTTTGAGCTTTATCTATAGATCATGGGATCTTTGGTATACAAAGTAGATACTGCCACCAAATTATGACCTTCCTGGTAGACTTTAGAAACGGTTTATAACACTCAACAGTTCCTTCACTGCTCCTAAGTTATATGTTCACAACTTAGAATACTATATTCTAAAAGAGCAGGGAAGAAGATCTAAGATGAAGTAGGGTGAAAGAGCTGAAAAAGAGAACATTGGGTTGGAGTGTTGTATATTGTACTAACCACATAGGAGAATAGGTGAGTCTGGTAGAAGAAGATTGGGCATATCCATGCTTTGTCCTAGATGGAAATGTAGAAGATGGCCTGAGAAAATAGGGGAGGAAGGAAAAAATGTTCTGCTCTCTGAGGGACAGTCAGAGATCAGAGGAGGATCTCTTCCCTGGAGCAAAAGAACAGGGAGGGAGCCCTGTCCCCTTTAATTCTGGCCTGGGTGAGAGCCAGGTGGGGAATTCGAAATGGGAACAGAAGTATAATAGTTGGAGGTGGAGGGAAGTGAGTGAAATTGGATTACAGAGAAGTCGAATGAGTTGCGTAGGTGAGGGTAGCTGGTGGGGGGGGAATGAAGTATAAGATGGGACGTGCTCTGAGGTTTTTGTCTGATGTGGTTGGAAGAGGGGCTAAGTAAAGAAGACGAAGATGAGGATAGCAGTGGTGATAGGAGGAAGAAGTGGGGGGCTTCTTAATTCTTAATTCTTGAACATCTGACTTGCTGGGTGCCAGGGCTCAGGAGGGAGCTTTTGAACACCAGATGTATCTGTAATAACCTAGCCTCATTCACAGTGTAATTGTGGATGAAAGGACAGACCTGGCATGAGAGCTGGGGGGACTAAAGGGAGGAATTGCCCTCACTGAGATCTGTCCAGCTAGGTTTTGTGTGCTACAACACATGGCAAGGGAGATAGAACAACAGTTGTGTACTGGGAGGCTGTGGTTATTGCAAGAAGGACAGTACTACAAATGGTTGGATGTAAGGCTTTTGTGAGGTTGGGCCAAAGGGTCAAGCTGGGAGGTGCTGCTATTGTACCATCCTTCCAGCTGCATTGCTGCATCTGATCCTGAACTGCTCAGTTTTATTACAGGTGGAAGCTTTGGCCATTCTGAAAGCAGTGCTGGTCTGCCCATATCTCCAATCTTCCTTTCTTGGGGAAGACTATTGAGAAAGTGGTGGGGCAAAAATTACAGAGACCCCTGGAGGATATGGATTATCTGGACCAGTGGTAGGTTTAGACATGGAATAGAAATCACATTGGTCATTCTTATGGACAACTTGTGCTGGGATTTGAAAGTACCATACTATGAGGTTCTCCTTCCTGAGTGGGTCAAGTCAGTGATGGGAGAGAGGGAGAGGTCAGATCTTCAGTTGCTGCAGTATGAGCTACCCGAGGATTCAGTTCTTTTATCCTGTTTAATGTATATATGAAGCTGCTGGAAGAAATAATCCATCAGTTTGGGGTATGATATCAATAGGCAGATTGTACTCAGTTACTGTATGTATCTCCATTCCAAACCCAATGGGAGATACAGTAGAAGTTCTAATCCAGTGCCTGAAAGCTGTCAAAACCTGGAAAAGGAGAAACAGATTCAGACTGAACGAAACAGATGGGGTAACTCTTGATTCAGAAGCTTCATGGTTCCAGGACAGTTTAAACTTTGACTCTTCCTTTTGTGTTTCTCCAAAAAAGCAGGCTTGCAATCTCTTGGGTCTTTCTGGATTCAAGAGCAGGCAGAGGCCATAGATTGGAGAGCCTTTGCCCAACTCTGGCTAGGGCTCCGCTTACCTAGAACATGAGAACCATCAAACCTGCCCCTATCATCTCTCTGTTAGATTACTGTAATTCAGTTTACATGGAACTGCTCTTGAAGACCACCCAGAAACTCTAGCTGATGCAAATGTATTGATCCATGTGCTTAGTATGCAGTCATGCTATTGCCATAGTATGCCTTTGCTGCAGAAGCTTCTGTGTTCCTGGGTGCAATTCAAGGTGGTGGTTGCTACTATTAAAGCCCTATATGGATTGGGGCCTCAGCCTGGGTATCTAAGGGACTGCTTTTCCCAGATGGATTTTTCCCACCCAAAGTAGCCAAAGGATGCTTTTTGAAGGTCCCTCTTACCAGATATGGTGGGAGGGGTGTGAAGTGGATATTCTCTGTTGGGACTCCTTGCTTCTGGAACAGCTAGGTCCTGGATGGTTTTCGCTCTCATGGCCTTCCAGAAGCTTGTAAAAACTTGAGAATTCCAGAAAACCCTTCAGGGACTGATTAATGTGAAGTGACTAGCACTAATGTTAGTTTTTATTGTCTGTATTATGATTATTATTATTACTGGTATTTGTTTTAATTTATTAGTATCTGTACACTACCTAGAGTCTACTAGGATTAAAGTGGTACATAAATTGCATAAATAAATGAGTGATATTTTGCATTAAAAATCATCTCCAGCATCTAAAATGATTCATTATTATCTCTCCTCACTGCAGTATTTTGTCAGGTTTAATATGAGCAGGGTATAAATACAGTGAAGCTGGTTTTGTTTCTAAGGTACTATACTATTTTTTCAGATACTGTTGTTGTTCTCTATCCACTGTGCTTATTCTACAATCACCATTCACCAGTATGTGGTGTTTGATTGCAGGAAGAGAGACTTTAAAATCACATTTGTGCTTGTCATAGCCAGTGGTAGCACCTTGCCCCCCTTGGCTGATCTTGAAAAATGGTAAGCAGGGTCAGACTTGATTCATACTTGAAGGGGAAACCATTAAGATATCCCATGGTTGTTGGCAGGGAAGGCCACAAACCACCCTGAAAGAAGGTAATAAATCATTTATCGTTGCCATTATATCTATCTAGACATGTCCAGATAGTCACCAGGAGTCCTGCCTGACTCAAGCATTCTTTAACTTGGCCTTTTAAATGTAGCTTATTCTTAGGTGTCTAGGTGTACACTGAAAGTTAAGCTCAAAAAATACTAAGCAATCACTTTATTATCTAAAGGGTAGAAAGGGAGGACCATCACTACAAACTTCTGCCCACAAATGTTTCTCCCCTGCTCTGGATGAAGATGAAGGTGAATGTGAGGAAAAATATGTATAATCAGTTCCATTACTCTGAACATGCTCCCACTAGTAAAAGATGCGATATCAGTACTAATTCATGGAAATTGTAATGAGAACTAACCACCTACCCCACCCCACTCAAAAATCATTAAAAGAGATCTAGAACAAAATACTGTTTGAAGGAAATAGCATCAGGAAGACAGATTGGAGAATACATTGTGTCCTGCAAAGTGAATCAGATGTTGAATTACCAAAAAAATGCCTAGTTTAAACTTTAGGAAACTAAATAATGGCCTGGATTAATAAAAAGATACTACTTTATTTGGGCTGGAATCTCATTTTTAACATGCTTCGCCGTGCTGATCCACAATGAAGATTTCACACGAAAATGCTGTTCTGTGCTGGATGCCACCCACGCTACGTGCAGGGTTCTGTATAAATTAGAAGTATCAGATACAATTTGTTTTACCCACAAATATGCCTGTGCTCTATTACAAGAGCAGTGAACTCCCACACAGGAACATAATGCCACAATTAGGTTCTCTAACCACACTCCCTGCCTTTCACTTTTTCACAGCCTGATGCATTGGTTATTCAATTGTAGGAAACTGGTATGTTTATGTCATTGTGATGGCCAGCCTATTAACTCGGAGGTTGTGTATAGTTCTATAGATAAACAGGAAAGATAACCTGTGTGACAAATAAAAAGGTGATATGCAAGTGCTGTTCTCTGTACCACAATGTTGCATTATGCTTAAAGGCATTTTTTTCAACTCGGGTGGTTTTTTTAAAATTGAAGGAAAGTGCATAAGCAACAGAAAATGAAGTCAGTCTTATAATACAATCTGATTAACTGTCAACCCAATGAAAGTTCTCCACAGTTGCTTTAAAATTTGAAAACTGGCCATAGGTAGAGATGTGCTGGGTTGAATTCAGTGCATGGCCAAGAGAAGGGAAGCTTACAAACTCTAGATGATACATTGCAGGACTTCTTGATAGAGGAAACCAAGATTTGCAGTGCTATAGATTTGGCAATTTTGCCCCACTTTTGTTTCATACAAGTTGTTGATGGACATCATATTGGCCATAATGAGGAAATGGAAGTCTCAGATCTTGCTACAGTGCTGCCCTTCTTAGGAATTAATCCATCCTTGACATTAGCACAATTCAAGCTGTTCCTTCAACATTTCAGATTTCCACTTTATTAGAAATGGAAAATTAAGGATAAAGAGTTAGAGGAGCAAAAAATGAGATGAGACCTATGACTTGAATTCTGCTGCAGAGGTGAGGATGGAAGTTAGACTAAACAGAAACAAAACTACATAGAAATAATTTAAATTTTAGAGGAATACCAGAGGATTTTGGAAGACAAGATCTGGAAAAAGATGGAAATTTTATTTTAAAATTATATTGACCCAGATGATGATGAATCATTAGAAACTCAAGAAATTTACAGAATAAACTTAGGGACAGCATGAAGAAGGAACTTGCTTGTGAGCGCTTATAAAATTCATATATTCTGAGACAAAGGTTGTTGAAGTTTGATTTCTCAACCAGCTCTGAAACAGCCATCCTTGTTTGGCATCTCATTTTGCAATGGGAGGTACTAGTGACTCACGTTACCGAGGGGTAGGTTTTCAAATTGATATTTTTAAAAATAATCAGGGACCATGTCCTTCCTTGTCTGAGTTTTTTTCATTCATATTGTCCCTACATCAGAGAATACTTCCCCCAGGACTAAACAATCAGAGGAAAATTAATGCTGCTGTAATATATCCATGAAAACTCTATGTCTATCAAATATCTAAGAAAAACTAAGTTTAGGTATGGCTTAATTGACATTGTTTCCCTTCATAGCATGTCTGTTACATTCAACAGGGCTTACTCTTCCATTGAAAGTCTATCTTTGGCTGGAGAGGGCCCCTTCAATACTAAAATCAGTGACACTTGAGACGGGTTGAAAACCACCTGTACTACGACACTCCATGGACTTAATAGATTCTATCTGACAAAATGGTTCCTCCAGACACCCTACATTCTATCTCCCAGTCCTTCATTTGATCATTGTAATTCTATAGCCACTGGCAACCAAATCAAGCCAGTTAGCAGAAGGCTGTAGAAGTTCCATGTCCTCTGTATGAATGCCACTGCATCTTTCTGAAAGGAAGTTCCTCTCCTGAATGATGTCAACCAGCAATTTGGTCACAAACATTTATCAGAAATACGCTGAATGCTTTATCACATCACTCTTTCAGATGGGCCATTGTTGCCTAAAAACAAATTTGTTACTCCATTTTTTCACTGGTTTGGATATAGCTATTCTATATTAACAATGTGTAATATTCTATATTACAAATCCAAGCAAATGATAAAACAATATTGGTTTTAATTGGAGTGGGTGGTTCATGACATTAATAAAATGGTTTGCTGGTGATGACTTTTCATAACAAGTGCTCTGTAGAGAACAATTTTCTCATTGATTATCTTTCCTTGCTAATAGCCTCCATGCCATTTGGTAGACAGTTCACATTTACTCTCTAATGTAAATCTGGAAAGCTTGGCAGACAGACTGATGGACTGGGAAAAACTGGGAAAACTGAGTTAAAAATAGAGGGAACAGCTTGTATAATTTTCCAACATCATCTCCAAAGCTGCTTTATAGTCAAATTAAAAGACACATCTTTTAAAAAAAAAAAAACTATTGCAGAATAAGGGTGAATAATTAATCATTTATAGATCTAAAATGATTAATCTGCATCACTTAGCATCCATTACAATAGATTTCTCAAGATGCAAGGATTAAACATTTAGGCTGCATCACAAAACATTCTCAATCACATTTCCCTCTAGATGTACTAAAGTTTAGTGTTCCCAACCTGGGCAGCTTCCTTGTCTGTATATTTCAATTCCCAAATTTTTTAGCAATGGCTGTGTTTGTGTGGAAGTCCACACAACTAGAAGTTATCCTGCTGGGAAACACTAAATTAGACTATAACTCCCATTACCCTCAGTCAGCATCTGCCACCTGGGGTGATAGTTGCTGCAGTCCAACACACCCAGAGCACAAATTTGGGGTTTAGTGGTAAATATGTGGACCTCTGAAAGCCAGTGTACTACTCACTACTCCTGGTTAGCTGGAAATTATGGGAATTCAAGTTCAAAAACAACATCTTACATTCAAGTGATGCTGGATGACGGGTGCCAGCAGAAATAGACCTCCCTAAACATTGTGTTTATACTTTCCTTTCTCTTCCTTGACTATCAGGAGGCTGAGTTACTTCCATTCTCACTTCACAATAGCTTGCCATGACATCTGAAACCCAAAATTGTTTCAGAAAGCCAGGTTCTATATATGCTTGCCTAACTGTAAGTCCCTCTGCACAAAGCAGGACTTACCTTGTTAAACAGGAAATAAGTGTATCCCCAATGCACCAGGTTTAGTTGCTTCCCTCTTTTTAATTTATCCTTTGCTCTAACAATTCAGAGCAGCATCTAAATATTAGCAAATTTGGTGCACCTTTTATTACTGAAGGAAGAATCTTCCAAAAAAAATGGACGCCACAACTGTAAAAGGCCTTTTCTTGGTTAATGCCCAGAGAAAGTGCTACAGGGATACAAAAAATGTAGCCTAGAGGCTGCATGAAACCCATCAGCATTGCTTTGGTAGCCCTCAGCAGCCCTCCCCACCCCAGTGGATAGCTTTTTTATATGGGAAAAAAAATAGGTTCCTTAAGCCTTGCAGACAATTAAAGCACACTTTCTTTCCTTTGAGATTCTGAAATACTTCTTCCCTAATAAAAGTTACTTGGCCCAGTGTTCTTTTGGAGTGTAGCCTTCAGGATACCTCTCAAAGCCTGGAGTGACCCTTGAGCTGACAAAGGTTGCACATTCCTGGTCTAGAGGATCATGGACTCATAGAGTTGGAAGGAATCTTATAGGTCAACTAGTCCAACCCATTTTTCAGGGGAGGATCCATTAAAAGCAACTCTGAGAGATGACCATCCAACCTCTGTTTGAAAACCTCTAGTGAAGGAGAACTTAACACTTCATCTTGCATTTGTTCCACAGCAGTCAAAAAGTTTCTCCTGCCATCTAGTCTGAATGGCCTTTGGGCAGAATTAAACCAGTTACCTATAGTTCTTTTTTCTGTTTCCCTTGCCATTAAGAAGAAAAAAATAGCTATTTTAAAAATATTCCATTATCTGCTACTTGTATGGAAAGATTTTGTTGTCTAGGTGTGGTGCAGTTCAAAGAGAATGAGGCAGCCAGTGTAACAACTGAGCTATACTGAACACAGAATTGTTGCAAGAATTCCCATCTATACACAATAAGGTAGGATCCTCCTTATAAGAGAGTTTGGATTTTCAGACTGAAGAATAGAAAAATTCAGGCTTCCTTGATGAAATATTGACTTTCTGCCTACTGGCTTTGGAATAGTAGCACAATAGCAATTCTTGGCACAGCCAGAAAAATTCAAACATGACCCACACTGGGGCTGCAGAAGGAGAAGACTGTGTGTTTGCTGTTGCTCATGATGAGATTAGTCTCATACAGAAAGTATAAAATTGTGCCTCTGACTATTATTCCAAAGTCATGTGGAGCTGATTGCCGAGTCCAAAATATCCATGCATGACATGTGTAGGTCTTCGGGGAAATACTACTTCCACACTTTCCCTACATTCTGAACACATATGCACAGAGATAATTCTGCAGTCTTGCCCAACCTAATGCATGGGCAAGATTTTTATTCACAGTATGACTGATATTATAGAATATTATAGAATTATATAACATTATATCATGATATTATGGAATCATAGAACTGGAAGGCACCAATGGCCATCATATCCAACACCCTGCTCCATGAAGGAATTCAGATTAAAGGATCCCAGAGTAATTGCTTTCACTGTCAAATTGCTCCAACTCTCAGGAAGTTATTCCTAGCATTCATCTGGAATTTGCCTTCCTATAACTTAAATCCATTATTATTTCTCCTACATGTTAGAGCACTAGAAAACTCTTTAGGGTCTTCTTCTCTATGATATTTATTTCTTCAGTAGTTGAAGATGGCTATTACATCACCTTTAAATTGTCTTTCCTCAAAGCTGGAAATGCAAAGTTCTCTCAGCCTCTATACAGGAAATTTAGTTCCCAGTCCTCCAATTCCCTTTCTTTGCCCCTGTTCCAGTTTGTCCTAATCTTGCTTAAGGTGTGTTCAGAACTGGGCATAATACTTCAGATGGGGTGTAACTAATGCAGAACACTTACATACATACATACATACATACATACATACATACATA